TTTTTTGAACAAATTAAAGGTGTAGCAATGGGCGCAAAATTTGCGCCCAGCCTTGCGAATATTTTTTTAGCGAGATGGGGAGTCAAGAGAAATTTATGGTAAAAAGTGGGAGGGACTTAGAACCTGGAAAAGATACATTGATGATATAGTGATGGTGTGGGATGGTACGGCTGAGGATTTGGGTCATTTCATGGATCATGTTACAAATAATGAATTTGGATTGGGTTTCACACATTTTAGTAGCACTCACTCGATTAATTTTTTAGATTTGAATATTTTTAAATGTAATAATAAATTATATTTTAAAACCTATTTTAAAGAAACTGACAGAAACGGGTACATTCCTGTTTATAGTTGCCATCATCCCCAGTGGATAGAAGGTATACCTAAGGGCCAGTTCTCTAGGATTATGAGGAATTGTTCCAGGCTTGAAGATTATATCACACAATCAGATATAATTAAAGAAAGGTTTATTCTGAAGGGCTATAATCCAGAGAAATTGGAAAAAACCAGATATAAAATTAGCCGTAATTATTTGGGAGAAGGAAAAATTAAGAAAGAAAATGTGATTATAAGAAGGGATGGCAAGATAGCAGATTTTGCTTATATTTCCCGTTTCAATTGCCATTATAAAGACATAGAAAATATTTTTAATAATCATTGGCCCGATTTTAATGAAAGATGCTACTTAGGGACCCATCTTCCAAAGAAACCGTCGTTCATATATAGGAAAAATAATAATCTTAGGAATGTCCTGGTAAAAGGAGTGATTTCACCTCCCAAGTCAAAAGGTATGAAATTGTTCGATTTTAAAGGATTTTATCCATGTAAAAAGTGTAAGGTGTGTAAGATTACAGGCAGCAAAAGTAAAATTTCTGGGTTTGAATCTTTTAATACGGGAGAAAAATTTACAATTGAGAAATTCATCACTTGTGGTACCAAATTTGTGACATATCTGTTGGAATGTCCCTGTAAACTACAGTATATAGGAAGAACAAAAAGGACCCTTAGCGATAGAATTAAAGAGCATGTGAGAAATATCGCGAAAGGAAAAAAGAATCATAGTGTGTCGAGGCACTTTAAGGAATATCATCGGTCAGACCCTAGTGTCCTTAAATTCTGTGGGATAGACACAGTGGAAGCGCATTGGAGAGGGGGAAATAGGGTCCAGATGTTGTCCAGGGATGAAACATTTTGGATTTATCAGTTGCGCACTCTAAAACCTAGAGGTTTAAATATCGATTTAGATCTAAACTGCTTTATTTCAGATTGGTAAAAATAGGCCATTGGAATATGTAATAAATTTAGGGAAGGTATTTTCTGGTGTGAGATAAGGATATGAGTTATCTTCGGACTGGCAGTGGATTGTTTTCAGTTTATTAAATTTTTGCTAAATTGGTTCCTTATATTGGAAGTCATAGGGTATTATCTAGGGATGGGGTTTATGATTGAGGAAGAAAATTAAAAATAAAATAGAAAGGTTTATTGCTGATAAGTAATATGTAGTGGAAGATTTATTTTTAAAATAGTTTATTTGTATTATTATTTATTTATTTATTTTATTTTATTTATTTTTGTACATTTATCTATATTGCCCTTTGGGTTTTGTTGGGGGAGATGTATTGATTAATAAGAAGTAGAGAAGTGACTCATTCAGTTATTTATCAGCTGGGGTTTATATATTTTGACCAGTAGAGGGCGCCCTATCCATATAGATGATCTACTTCAGGTTCCATTGAAGTATTTATATTTATATATGTATATATCAAATTTTATAGATGATTGATTTTAGGTATATTTTATATATATATATATATATATGTGAATTTTAACAATTTATTTGGGGGAATTTGGTTCACTGTATTCTATTGATGTATTTTATCTTATGTGTTATGGATTTAATAGTATTCTTATAGAAGTATTCGGCGGGATACTGTTTAGGGAAAATCTATTGTCTGTATATGGTGTTTTAAGAGATTGAGATATACCTATCCATCGGTTCCCTGTGTATGGGAATAAGTATGTATTTATTTATTTTATTTTCTGAGCCGTTCGGTTGAGAATGTAAGGCATCTTTAAGATGCCCATAGTTAAAAAAAATGGCGGCGGGACGTGTTTGCCAGTAACCTTACTGGATAAGAGGAACCGCCGCATGGACGTCTGGATCCCTTGTGAAAAAGTCGGAAGTGACGAAATGCGTCAGGGTCGTGACGTCAGACGCTGTAGCCGGAAGGAGCAGCGCGGCCATTTTTGAATTACTCACAACAGTGAACGGACGAGAGCGAGGATGGACGGTATATTCTGAGATGTAAGTTTACTAAATAAAAGTGTGTATTACCTTTTACTCCACTGAGTCTGCTCCTATTTCCCCGCGCGAGGAACGGGGACCTTGGTATCTATGACCTATGGCTGTATGAGGAAAAAGGGATCCCATTGCTTATTCCTGAGAGAGAAGACGCACCTCCTAGGAAGTTTACCTTGTGGCATAAAGGAATCCCAAATGTCTTCTGATCTACAGCAAGAGGGTAATTGCAATTGTATCCCCTAAACAGAGTGTGGCACTATTTTGGCACTATTGTCACAGATTATTACTGTGGCACGGATCACACTGTGTGGTTTATTTTTTCACGATTGCAGTGGTGTCTCACTGGACCACTAGTGATATGGTGGATTCACTTTAACTATATTTAATTTAATTTATGTTTATCACTAGTGTGATTGCATGACATCACTCACAGTATTTTGTATCAAGGATAATGCACTATATTGTATTTTGTTTTTTTGAGGATCTTACGGATTGAGCGGGAAGATTTTGGACACTTTTGGAATATTGCTATTTTATTTTTATTTTTTTTTGGACTTTGATTTTGGACTGTGGACTGAGGTGTGGACAATTTGAGAGTGGTGTGGAATTGTGGGAGAGGGTCTTGTATGGATTGTTGAAAAGGTTTATGATTTTGAAAACAAACACGTTTTTCTTTGTTTCTGTTATAAAAGTTTACAAATAAATAATTGTTCTTCATAAATTTAGGCCAAGATGTATTCTGCTACATGTCTTTGGTGAAAATAACCCATATTAGGATGTATTTTTTTTTAGTTTGTAGGAAAGTTATAGAGTTCACAAACTATGGTATAGATCTGAATATTGATCAATCCTGAAGTACTGACAGCCAATCTAATTTCTTGAGGTCCAAGAATGTCAGAACAGTACAGATATCCCCCAAATGACCCCTTTTTGCAGAGTAGACAGTCCGACGTACTTCATAAGAGGCATGGCGAGTTTTTTGAAGTTGTATTTTTTTGTCATAATTTTTCAGAAAATGAAAAAATGCAAAAAAGTTTTTTCACTTTTTTTTTTTTACATACTGTCACCAGTGCAGTACAGCATTTTCATATAACTGGCATGGCGGTGATCAGGGACACTGACTGGTGACAGTATAAAAAAAATATATATTTTTTAAACTTTTTTTTATTATTTTTAATTTTTTATTACTTTTTTTTTCTTTTTTTTTAAAGATTTTTTTTTTCATATTTCACTATGTCCAAAGTAGTACAATGTTACCATAGTAACATTGTACTACTTTGGGGAAGTGATCAGTATTTTTTTTTTTTTTTTTTTACACAATTTGCTTATAGCAAAGAATTACTTTGCTATAAGCAAGCATTTACCTGAATGACATCGATTCATTCAGGGTTTTTTTTTTTTTGTGCTTAGCTGTGATTTGGCCACAGCTGATCACATGACATGTGTATGTGATTAGCTGTGACCATTCACAGCTTGACAGTAGTATACAATGGATGGCATGAATGAAGCCATCCATTGTATACAACTGTCATGTGACCTGCTGTGATTGGTCACAGCAGGTTACATGGTACCGGCAACAGGGCCGATACTCAGATCTATCATGGGCCGTGTCCGAGGTACACGGCCGGTGACAGATCGCGCCGCTGTGCGGCTCTGCATGCGCGAAAAGTGCGCTTGTGCGGGAGGACGCCATTTGGCGTCCAACCCGGAAATGCAGAACATTTTGCTGGCCACCTTTTGGCTATTGGCCGGGCGTGTATTGGTTAAAGAGCAGGAATCAGTGTATGGTATGGGCTAGCCTGCAGTGCAGCACAACAGCTTACAATCTTACACAAATCTACAGTATTCCCCCTCGCATAACTGGTCCTGCAGCACGTGCCTGAGTATTCCTTCTATGCAAAACGCCAGTCTGGCTTGAGTTTGTAGGATTGTATCAGCTCTCCAATGTGAAATGTCACTTTAAGTTGTGGAGTCCTTCCAATAATCAGTAACAACACTTGTGGCCTGACACAAACAGAGACCCTAACTAACTAACTAACTATAGGCCTGGACTCAGTCTCAAGGCATGGAAAAACGAAAAAGAATTCTCCTGCGCTCCAAGACTCAGACAGGTGGCACAAGATGGAACCAGGCCTGGGGAGAACGAACACCACTGCATAAAGGGCTGTGCAGCTCCAAACCAAGGCTGGGGAAGCCCAATCAGCACTGTAAAATGAAATAAAAAACAAGAAGCGCACCAGCCTTGCGCATTACCTCAGCGACCAAAATTTATTACTTGTAAAAAACATACTCACAAACAGCGAATAAAATCAGGCATGTAAGTCCTCTCAGGGACTTGAAGATAACATGAGTCCCATCAGGGGAATAGGTGTTCAGTACAGCTGACGCGTTTCGAAGGGAGTCCCTTCTTCCTCAGAGCTAGCTCTGAGGAAGAAGGGACTCCCTTCGAAACGCGTCAGCTGTACTGAACACCTATTCCCCTGATGGGACTCATGTTATCTTCAAGTCCCTGAGAGGACTTACATGCCTGATTTTATTCGCTGTTTGTGAGTATGTTTTTTACAAGTAATAAATTTTGGTCGCTGAGGTAATGCGCAAGGCTGGTGCGCTTCTTGTTTTTTATTTCATTTTACATTACTCAGTCTCAAGGCGCCAACACTGAAATGAGGTGCGTGCACGATCTTACCGACCCGGGTCTGCTTTGCATCCGCTGGTGACTGAACAGAACAAATGTCTCTCCAACAAGCATGCGGTCTTGCCGTATATGTTGCTTAGTTCCTCTGCTCTCATCAGCCTTCCTGGCAGCAATCTCATCAGCATTCCTGGCAGCAATCTCATCAGCTTCCTGGCAGCAATCTCATCAGCATTCCTGGCAGCAATCTCATCAGCATTCCTGGCAGCAATCTCATCAGCATTCCTGGCAGCAATCTCATCAGCATTCCTGGCAGCAATCTCATCAGCATTCCTTGCAGCAATCTCTGGTTACTGAGGGATGCTTTCACAACTGGATGTCATCAGATTCTCAGCTCACACGGCCCCTTATTCACCATGCTCCAAAACATGGCTTCTCTCTCTCTTTCCTGTTCTCTCCATCCCTGTGTGAAAAACCCCACCTCTTCATGAATATACAAATATCTATGCCTTCTGAGGCTGTGTTAGAAAAACAGTGACATCTTGTGGCTAAACTGCAGAATGTCAGTCAAAACATTAATTTACTTCCACACAGTGTTCAAACAATGAGAGCTGTTTCCCCAGCTCCCATACTGTGCGTATATATCCAGGCTTGTATGGGCCTGAATGTGTACTGTGCGTGTATATCCAGGCTTGTATGGGCCTGAACGTGCACTGTGCGTGTATATCCAGGCTTGTATGGGCCTGAACGTGCACTGTGCGTGTATATCCAGGCTTGTATGGGCCTGAACGTGCACTGTGCGTGTATATCCAGGCTTGTATGGTCCTGAACGTGCACTGTGCATGTATATCCTGGCTTGTATGGGCCTGAACGTGCACTGTGTGTGTATATCCAGGCTTGTGTGGGTCTGAACGTGTACTGTTATCCAGGCTTGTACGGGCCTGAACGTGTACTGTGTATGTATATCCAGGCTTATGTGGGCCTGAATAGGTACTGTGTGTGTGTATATCCAGACCTGTATGGACTTGTACTGTGTGTGTCCAGGTCTGTATTGCCCTGAACATGTGCTGTGTGTGTGTGTGTATGTCCAAACCTGTATGGACTTGTACTGTGTTTGTGTGTGTGTGTCCAGGTCTGTATGGACTTGTAAGTGTGTCCAGGTCTGTATGGACTTGTACTGTGTGTGTGTCTTTCCAAAGTCCAATCAAATTCAAAATGTCACTCTTTCATGATCCAGTGTGGAATTCCAATTGTCTTATCATTCTCCACGAACCTCAAAAAAATAAACTTATAACAGTGTATTACCTTCTATAAAATTATATCTGTGCAAATAAAGGTACACCAAACTTCATAAACACAAGTGTGAGCAAACAAGTGTATCATGCAAACAGCATATCGTGTACACTCTAATCACACGTGAATACCACAACAACAAAAAATTAATTTTATATATATATATATATATATATATATATATATATATATATACAGTTGCCAGAAAAAGTATGTGAACCCCTTGGGATTACGTGGAGTTTTGCATGAATTGGGCATAAAATTTGCTCTGAACGTCATCTAAGTCACAACAATAGAAGAACACAGTCTGCTGAACATAATACTACACAAACATTAGATGTTGCCATGGTTTAATTGCACATAACATGTAAACATTCACAGTGCAGGGAGGAAAAAGTATGTGAACCTTTGGACTTAATAACTCGTTGACCCTCCTTTGGCAGCAATAACCTCAACCAAACATTTCCTGTAGTTGCAGATCAGACCTGCACAACGATCTGGAGTAATTTTGGACCACTCCTCTTCACAAAACTGTTTCAGTGTAGCAATATTCTTGGGATGTCTGGTGTGAATCGCTCTCTTAAGGTCATGCCACAGCATTTTAATCGGGTTGAGGTCAGGACTCTGACTGGGCCACTCCAGAAGGCGTATTCTGTGCTGTTGCAGCCATTGTTTTGTTGAATTACTTGTATGCTTTGGGTCATTGTCCTGTTGTATCACCCATCCTCTGCGGAGCTTCAGTTGACGGACAGATGGTCGTACGTTTTCCTGCAAAATGTCTTGATAAACTCTGGAATTCATTTTCCCATCAATGACAACAATCCGTCCAGACCCTGAGGCAGCAAAGCAGCCCCAAAACATGATGCTTCCGCCGCCATGTTTTACAGTGGAGATGAGGTTTTGATATTGGTGTGCTGTGCCTTTTTTTCTCCACACATAGTGTTGTGTGTTCTTCCCAAACAACTCAGTCTTGGTTTCATCTGTCCACAGTATATTTTGCCAGTAGTGCTGTGGAACATCCAGGTGGTCTTTTGCAAACTTCAAACGTACTGCAATATTCTTTTTGGACAGCAATGGCTTCCTCCGTGGTGTCCTCCCATGTACTCCATTCTTGTTTAATGTTTTCCTTATTGTAGATGTGTCAACAAAAATGTTAGCATGTGCCAGAGATTTCTGTAGGTCTTTAGCTGACACTCTGGGATTCTTCTTTACCTCATGCAGCATTCTGCGCTGTGCTCTTGTAGTCATTTTTACAGGACGACCACGCCTAGTGAGAGTAGCAACAGTGCTAAACTTTCTCCATTTGTAGACAGTCTGGACACATGAACATCAAGGCTTTTGGAGATACTTTTGTAACCCTTTCCAGCTTCATGCAAGTCAACAATTCTTGATCGTAGGTCTTCTGAGAGCTCTTTTCTGCGAGGCATGGTTCACATCAGACAGTGCTTCTTGAAACCAGTAAACTCAAAACAGGTGTGTGTTTTTTAAGGGCAGGACAGCTGTCAGCAACACATCCAATATCATCACACTGATTGGAGTCAAGGTTGGCTCACTACTGGCTCCAATTAGCTCTGGGAGAAGTCATTAAGCTAGGGCCTCACATACTTTTTCCTCCCTGCACTGTGAATGTTTACATGTTATATGCAATTAAACCATGGCAACATCTAATGTTTGTGTAGTATTATGTTCAGCAGACTGTGTTCTTCTATTGTTGTGACTTAGATGACGTTCAGAGCAATCTTATGCCCAATTCATGCAAAACTCCATGTAATCCCAAGGGGTTCACATACTTTTTCTTGCAACTGTGTATATATATATATATATACACATGTATATATATCCACCTAATCAATAATTGTGAACACTCCAACGGTGAATAATCCGTGATCACCTCCAGCTAGTGCAAATGAATAATTACCTTTAGGAAGTAAAGACAGGCTTTGCAGGATATCCTTAGTCAGTAAGTAGTATCACTCTCCGGCTTACTAACACTCCTGTGGTCACTCTTCCATACTCCCCATAAGGGTAAAATAGGAGACTTAAGCGGTATATATATCAAAGGTATAAAACATTTTATTTAGAATCTTAAATTAAAATTTTAAGAAATCAGCCAGTGGAAATTCACTCCAGCACCTAAAGCAGCTATAGTGTTATCCTGGTGAGGGAAAACCCATATTCCCATTCTCAAAAGGGCCACGACGGCACTTCCGGTTTCCGCGTGAGTGTGTCAGACGTCACGTGTCCCAACACGTTTCGTCACTTCCTGGACTTTTTCCCTTGTGAAAAAGATCAGTGTGCTAAAAGTGAAACACTCCCATCACACAGATAACCCTATGATTGCCTCATCATTCCTTCCTCCCCAGTGCCATTAGTACAGTGTCAGTGCTTTTATTTTTTAGCACTGATCACTGTATTGGTGTCACTGGGGATGTCAGTGACCCCAAGTCATTTCCCCGTCAGTGTCAGAATGTCCGCCGCAGTCCTGCCATAAGTCGCTGATTGCCGCTATTAGTATATATATATATATATATATATATATATATATATATATATATATATATAATATATAAAAAGTCCAGTATCTATACCGCCATTTGTAAACGCTATAAATTTTACGTAAACCAATTAATTTACAAGTATTTTGATTTTTTTTTTTTAGCAAAGACATGTTGCAGAATACATTTTGGCCCAAATTTATGACGAAATTTGATTTTAAAATTTTTTTACTGGACATGTTTTATAGCAAAAAATCCAAAATATTTTTTTTTTCTCAAAATTGTTGGCCTTTTTTTTTTATAGCGCTAAAAATAAAGAACACACAGGCGATCAAATGTATTTCAATAATTTCTAGTCTACTCCTTTTGCTCTGAAGGATCCACCCCCACCCCATCCTCTGAACTAGAGGTGCTGAGGAGAAGATTCAGGAGGCGAAGTCAGTACAGGAATCACTGCTTGCTGGCAGCAAGGTACCATGGCATATGTAGTTCTTAGACATTTTAAGTAAACAGCAGAGAAGAAGCTGAATAGCATGCAGAGAATCCAGGAAGTTGTGGAAAGAGATAGCCAGTAGACAGGCAGAACTCATAATATAAAAGGAGACATTTCAAATAAGCTTATATTGGATTGCCAATAATGACTATTGCTTGTATTGCTATTACAATGACAATGTTGTAAAATGAAAGTGTATACTGTAACCATAGATCTCCTTTAATTTTCTGTTTCTAATTATAGCAGTGTGATTGTATCAATTATACCTTAATAGAAATGCATAACTAAACATGTAGCTACCAATGGTACTGGCCATAGCACAGCTCAATTTGTGTGAACCATATGGTATCTCACTAGCAGATATCATACCATGCAAGGGGTTTTTAGAACGCCACTTTGGATTTTGAAGGCTGCTGCACTGATGTCCTCAAATCTCAGGAATTCGTTCTTTGGTCGCACGCTGGACTTTCTCACTTTTGGAAGCATTGGCTCAGTATCTCCTTTTAGTGCTTCCTCTGCATTTCCAGTAACTTTCTTCTCCCATGTGGTCCGGTCTCCATTGAGGTATTCATCTTCCACAAAGTCCTTCAGTCTCTCAGGATGGATAGGTGGTCCGTTTTGGTCACATGGAGCAGGACCATTTTTAAGATGCTGACCTTTATCTTTCTGTGAGATACTCTGCCTTTTGCCTGTGCCCTCATCATTTCTGGAAAAAAAGAAGAAAAATATTTATATACAGTATATTAAATATTTTTCCAGGACCCTTATGGTTAGAAGTCCTACTTGAATGTGTAGCTGCAGCCAAACCACAGCTCTTACTAACCTGTTTGGCTTTAAGTTGAACACGTTATTAACTTATATATATATATATATATATATATATTTTTTTTTCTATTATTATTATTATATTTTTTTTTCTATGGTCTCATTTCGCTTTTAGGCCAAGAAAAGTATATAAGGAGAGATTTAGCTGATGGGGTGCTATAAAGATATAAGTAACAGGTATGTACTGTAACTTCTCATTATGCCTCCAGTTTATGTCGCCATTAAAACATAATCTTGTCTTGTGCCTTCTGAAATCATATTGCATTGCTTTGTGGAATTAAAACCCATC